ATATTGCAATTGTAACTCCCACAAGTCGATGAGCCAAGTGAACAGCTCTAGTTTCGGCTTAAAAACGGTGGGTGTACTTTTCCGAACTTGTACAATGTTCGATTTTGTTCTTTCTGAAATAAACAGAGATGAGAGAACGGCTAAGGCTAAACATTGTTGTTGGCAGGGTTTGGATTCAAAGAGGGCCCCGTCCAGTCATAATTCATATTTATCTATTTTTCGGTTCATGAATATAAATATGGTTCATATTTTAAATCGTTTTTGCATTTGTTTTGTTTGTTTGAAATCGGTGTAAAAGTGTGGATTCATCATTAAATATTCCAACCATTTTGTTCTCCAACGCCTCAATTTTGGTCAAAAAAATTAATTGTCAAATGAATATAAATTTATATCCAAAAAATAGATACAGTAATATTCTCTTTTTAAAATACAAAAGTATCAGAAAATATTATGTTTCAAACAAACACCGATAAACACCAACTAGAGTGCATAAATACTCCGATTCAGCGTTTGTATGGCAAACAAACGCAGCCCAAGAGGGGATAGTTTCGCCCTTGTCCGATTAGAATTTGATTGACACCCGTACCCCACCTTGCATTCAAGCACATCTGTGAATTGACTGACACCCGTTTATCACTTAAGTTTGCAGCCCACCTCCCAATGGTCATCTGGTGTGACGTGAAGGCCCCTTTCTGCTGAAAATTTTTTTTTAAGTTCATCATGTGCAGTGTAACCGAATAGACACATCTTTTTTATTTGTTACAAAAATCCTTAAAAAAAGAACTTGTTGAAGAAAAGCATCGGTTAGCTAGAACGAATGTAGAAGAGAGAAAAGAAAGAAACAACAGTCTGGATGGTCTTAAAAAGCCTTACGGATTTGAGTGGTTAATAGCTACTCAGTACTCACCCCCCAATCCAACTAGGGAATGGACCACACTTCCCAGTAGGCCTCCCCTTGGGCCTTGGCATACATTGCAGGAGAGATGTTGATTGGGACCTCGGTACCATTGGATATTCCATGTTGGTGTTGGGTACTTGGAAATTGGATATTCCTTCTGTCAATTTTCAAAAATGTTGAGACCCAAGTTAATTCACCTTGATTAGACAATACGGACCGAGTATACTTATTTGAGAGGTCAGCGTTGCTGTAATCCTTCAAACTCCAATCCAATCATCCAATAACGATCTGTCTAATGATCCATTAAGAAAGGAATTCAATCACAAGAAATACCCTTACAAAGTTATAGCTAGGCCGACTACTCCCCCACCATTTTGGTGATAGATGGGAATAGAAAGTAGTTGAGCAGCAAAGTATCAACCGCCGCAAACTGGAAAGATTGGCTTACTGTCGGTCCTCGTTTTGGATTCCATCGAGTCATTAACAGAAATGTTTGAGATTGGCGACAGCTTGTATGGGCACGAGACATTTCCATATGGCATCTCCACATCTCCAAACTCCAATCATGGCCAGCCAAACTCATTCCAAAGCAACCCCTCATGGACCACGACTTCTTAGAATGACTGGCCCCATCAACCAAACGGACACACCGTTCATTTGTCCCCACTGGAAAATAGAAAGGGTAAAAGACTTAAACCTCCCCTGAATTTTCTTTTTTTTTAATACTAAAACACCCCCTCATTTTTTACATTTAACTTAAACCTCTCGTGTCAGATTTGTAAATTGATAAAGAAAATGACTAATATATCCCCGTGTTAAATTTGGGATTAGATGGTGATGAGGGCGGATTTGGCCCTCCAGTGAAATTGTGACACCTGGCACATCATGTCAAATGTGCAGCTTTTTGACAACTAGACAGCTCGAGCTAGCCACAGGCAGTTCACCCTTATCCTAGCACGAGCTGGTAGTCTGGCCCAGGGACCGACTTGGTGGCCTGACACAGGCACCAACCTGACAACCCAGCCCAGACACCGACCCGCCGCCTAACACAGGCGCCGACCTGACAACCTAGCCCAGACGTCGACCTGTCCGCCTGACACAGGCGCCGACCTGACAACCTGACACAGGCGCCAGCCTGACAACCCCAAGAACCTCACCACTGTACCCCGGTTCTGACGAGATGTGACGAGTCCTACCATTTGAAGGCTTTTCACCCACCTAACACGCAATAGGTCCCATCACAGCAGGGATCCAGTGACTGTTACACTGACCCACGATGACTCTAGTATTTAAAGACTTCACCCCCTAGAGGAGAGAGGGGGATGAAAAATGATGGTAATCTCTGCTCTCTAGCTCTCTCATTCTCTTATATCATCTTCAAGCTCTCTACTATTATACTGTGCTAACTTAGCCATCGGAGTGTCTCCGCCGAGTAAGCCACCCCGGGTCCTCTGACATTTGGTTCCTTGCAGGCCTCTAAAAGAGCAACAAAGCTCATCAAGATAGCTCACCTCCAAGCAGCTCATCAAGGTAGCTCACCACCCAGCAACTCATCAAAATAGCTCACCACCAGGCAGTTCGCCACTATGCAGCTCACCACCAGGTAGTTCACCGCCAGGGAACTCCACTCCATCCTCTGAGCCACAGGCCACCTGGGAGCAGATCAAATGACGAGGTACCAAAAAATTGATACATCACAAAAAAATTATATATGACTAGAAACGGTTACATGAGATGGGTTTTTAATTAACCACTGGAATAGTGAAAACTGGTCCACCATTCATATATCCGTGTCTTTGGATTGAAGTATTTTACAAAAATTTATAATATTTAACTCCCTAGTTCAGACAAGGGTTATTTTACTCAATAAATCAATTATGTTAAAATAAATACGTAAATCTCAATATACATTTTCCAAGTTTTTCAAAAATATTCCCCTTCCACTAACCTCCGATCAATGTTCCAAAACCAAATCGGAGTGGATTACTCAACCAGGAAAAGTGAAATGACCAATATCCTGGGTCAACAATTAGCGAACGATTTGATGGTATAACCATAACCAACTTAGCTTTCCTCTCCGACCATTGGTTCAGTTCTACAAACATCACTCCCAAACTGCAAGTTGCAAGTATTTTTGAATTGATGGATTATCAGACCATGCTAAGATAGAACTCGTAGCTGCAAGTATTTAACGAAACATGGGACTGGTCTTCATCAAAGCCTCACCAACAGGATTACCATAGACAACTCCAGTATTTTCCATCTCATCAAGGTAGAAGAACAAGGAAGCCTGTTTTGAGGTGGGAAAAACGATAAAACGTGGAAGTTGTAACAGGAAAAGTAACAACGTTAGAAACAGCCAAACAGGCTCGATTAGATTTATCAAATATAGATGATGCTTGGTGAATAGGGATTGGGGAACTTCAGGGTATTGTGGAAGAAGTTGCAGGAAAAGGGGAATTTTTGCCTAGACAAAGGGGGTAATTAAGGGCAAAGGTGGATTTTTCAAAAAACTTAAACTGTAAATGATGTCATGTGCTAAATGATATAGACGGAGAGTTTGATGGGAGGTTTTTGTCCGTTCACATCACTCGATAAGAGAGGTTCAAGTCTAATTTGAAAAATGGGGAGATCTTTTAGTGTTTAGAAGAAGGGGGAGGTTCAAGTCTTTTACCCAAATAAAAATTACTAAAAGATTAGCTTTGAATATGGGTACATACAAACGCGGATTATTTTTGCGTATATTCGATGATGGGTAAAGATTTTATTCAACTATCTAAAAGCCTTATAACTAGGGACCCTCTCTGTTTCCGGAGAGGGTTTACCCTCGAGATCTCTCAAGATTTATTCTCGAGATTTTTCGAGGTTTTCTTTTTCTTTCAGCCCCGTTGTTCTCTGTTTTTCTATGTTTTTCCTTATTCTCTGTTTTACTGTTTTTCTGTCTCTCTTCTGTTCGTCTTCCCTTGTTCTCTGTTTTACTGTGTTTCTCTGTTTTTTCTGTCTCTCTTCTGCTCATCTTCCCTCGTTCTCTGTTTTTCTGTGTATCTTCTGTTCGTCTTCCCCTGTTTCTCTGTTTTTCTGTGTTTCTCCCCTCTTCTGTATTTTTTTTTTTTTTTTGTCTGCTTTCTTTCTGCGGGCATTTTGATTTGGTGTTCCTGCTCTAGTCTCCTTTCTGCAAAAATCACTGGTGGATTTGCCCCTTGTTTTGCCATCTCCAGCATTTTAGAAGGCAGTTTCAATTCTCCTGCATCCTTGATGCCATGATAGTGCTCGAACGTCTTAAATGGAATAGTGCTCGAACGTCTTAAATGGAAGTTTCAATTTCTCCACAGTTTTCCGGCATTGTGGATGAACGTTACAGTTCTCTGATGTTTTTTGAATGGCAGCTCACAGTCGACAGTTCTTAGGTGTGCTGGATGGCAATTACATATGATGTGGATGGCAATTACATATGATGCCGTCTTTTGCGGTTTTCGAATGGTTGAAAAGTTACAGTTCATGGCTTGTGGCTTGTAACCTCCTCTGACAGTTCTCTTTTTAATTGGTAACTCTTGTCAGTTTATTCACCAATTACAGTGGTTTGGAAATATACTTTGGTGATGTTAAGTCACATTGCTCCGATTGCAAAAGTTCTTCTGATTTTGCAAAATGATTGGTAGAAAGAGATGCACAAATGAAAAATGATTGAAACCTTTAGAGAAAAAAAAAATGTATTTTCGGTAAGAGATTACCGTCACCAAATATACGGTTCCATTTCAACAATCTTAGCCGTAGTCCTGAAACCGCTGAACTCAAGTGGAGGCTTTCAAAGCACTCCAGCTTGGATAATGTTACAACTTACAGGTGGCATACTGACATGACGAAAACTGAATACATAATCAATTTTCAATCCTCCAGAGTCCGGTTTCCTACATTGTTAGAAGGCACCCATGTAGCCTGCCAACATTGTACAGATAGCAGGGGATTACATCATCATGGTCCACTGCCTGCATGATCTAACTGAGATGCTAGTGGGAATAGCCATTCTCAGAGTCCTAGTAATCCCTAACCCAGAGATTTCATATCTCATACCATAAGATGAAATATGCTTAGAAGTTAGAAATACTGCAAAAAATGAATACACTACCTTGAAATACTTGATATAATAACATGTACACAAATAATTTCTACAAATCACATATAAATTGTTTCTGGTTGTTGCAGCTACCAGAAGAAAAAGATGATGCAAAACATTAAACAAAACATCACTTGGCAGTCAAATCATTATACTGCCATGGGTTGAACTCTATTGATCTAACATCAACTTCATCAATGTTGTCTGAGCTATCTGCAACTGCCCGATGCTGGGTATATTTCCCATTAAATTGGTACACCTCCAAGTCATCCCAAGGGGTAGGAGTAATTTCGCCTGTAATGTCAAACCATCTTGGAGTAAATTGGTGACCATTTGCTTCTCGGTTTCTTTTTTCAGCTCTCTGCCTCTCCTCCAGACTAAAACATTAATGTAGATGCATGAGAAAACAGGCATATTCTGTAATACTTTACAATTTTGGAAAATTCTAACTTTAGCTTTAGTCATAATCAGCACTTAGTTCTTTTCTGAGGTTTCTATGTCTAACCTAATACTATTCATGGTGTTGGGCAGCTAGATGGATTCCAATGACACCATGTTTAAACAATCATAATCATAATCATAATCAAATGGCATATTTAATTTGATCTTCTAAATCAACCATCAGAATAACAAGATTGATCCTCTACCAACCAATATTTAGGCCAACCCCATGGCCTGCATGACCTGAAGTATTCCTTGATGTTGTCCTTTCCGGAACAACAAATATAGAATAGCAATTTGGGAAATGTATAGTAGGTGATGAAATCAGGTAAGAAATGCCCAAGCTAAACCTTGGCCTGCATGACTGGAAGTATTCCTTAATGTTGTCCTTTCTGGAACATCAAATATAGAAATCCTAGCAACTTGGGAAATGTATAGGTGATAATACTAGGTAAGACGATAAACCATGGAACCAACTTATCATGTCATTTTCCCAACTCTGCCATACATACAATATGAGCTGACAGAACAAGATATTTCTCTCAATTCCATCATCTCACCTTGATATGTATAGACTTTATACTTTATTCCCCTAATAATCTATGGAATATTTTAATATGGTAGAGAGAGAGAGACCTGCTCTTTTCAGAACCAGCTTTGGATAGATCACCCTTCTCAAGGGCATATCTATCAGGACGTAAACGAGAATCTGATGCCAACAATTTCCTCGGTGCAGTGTCAAAACTGTTTATTTTATGTGCAAAATATGTATATTGGAACTTGTCATTCTCTGGAACATCAGCAACTCTCCAGACCTGTCAAAAACACCAAAACAATATATAGCAATCATTGAGTATACACATAAATCTTGTCACCTCAACATCTAAAAATGACAAAAAAGTACTTCATCAGCAAAACTGGAAAAAACTAAGATACATAAAATAATCATATCTGAATGGCCTCTCTACAAGATCAATAAAGGGAGAGTCCCAATATCACCAGCTTCTGACACAACAGAGAATTCATTCATTGCATAATTTGAATGTAGGAAGTAGAAAGATATAGATGGATGATGCCCACATGTAATATTTCAACACACTTTAATGGTGTATTTGCACCATCCAACTAACAAGGCATGGAAGATGAAGTTGGCCAATTACTGAACAAAGATAACCCCACTGTCCTCTAATCAACTCACTATACAAGTGACAAGTGACTGATTTTGGCAGATCCCGTTTTTGATGAACCAGGCACACATCTCTATTGAAAACTGAAAAAAGAGAATCAAGAGGTACTTTTTTCTTTCAAAACCTGTGCTATTTTTAACTAACTAATATTTGTGGCTCTTCTCTATCAAAAATAATGCATATGTACCGTGCAGAAATCACTCCCTTCAAAGGTAATATGAACATAAGGGGTAACAAAAAAAGAAGCCTATTTCATGACATTTTTTCATATTTACCGGGAAATGCACCAAAATATTAAAATTCCCCCAAGAGCCCCTTTTGTGTTCTTCATTGGGGCAAATGTTTGGACATGGCTGATAGATGAAAGTTTCCATGAAATCAAGAAGTGCGATGGAGATCATTCCGGGGAAGAAGTTGTGGAAGTAGCAGATCAAGAAAAGAACGATGTCACATTATCATTGGACAAAACTAAGCAGGTAAAAAAAAAGGATTTAGAGAGGGTGGTTGATAAACAAGCTCAAATTGGTAAAGAATTTGTATTGTTCCTCTTAGGACTAAGGACATTACCAGAATGTTGTTTTGGGAATCAGAAAGAAAATAAGGGGGAAATAGAATGGATGAAAGTTCACAAGAAAACAAATTATGTATTTGGGGTTGGAATATATGTGTTATTTTGGGTGAATTTTGAGATGGAATCTTGGAGAGATGGAGAAAAGATTCTTGCTTTTGCAGTACAGGATTATAATTGTGATTGATGATGGTTCAATTGCTGATCACGATGATGAGGTGTCAGCAGTGTGCTGGGATGGTTATAGAGAGTCTAATGTCATAGTTTTTTAATAGAAACAGTAACTTTCATTCAATTAATTTAAACAGTACAACTGTGAACCACCCACAGAAAGGGTGCTGAACTGGTGAACCCTCAACGTATCTCAGAATTACAACAAGGCCCAAAACAGTTCTCCCTAGTAACGTCTGCTTTGCTAGAGTGTCAGCCAGTCCATTGGCTGATCTTCTAGTACACCTAAAAGTGTACCCCAATCTCCCTTGTTGGGCGCTTGATTTCCCTTGCAAACTAAGGGTCCAAATTCCCAAGTGGCTTGTTTGCATCCACCCTATTACCAACTTGGAGTCTCCCTCCACCTCAATTTGTTGTAGACCCAACTGCTTAGCCAATCTCAATCCTTGGATAGGGCCATCACTTCAGCTCTGAGTGAATCACCAACCCATATTTGTCCTCAATAAAGAGCCAGAATTCTTCCTTCACCATCTCTTAACACACCACCAACACCGGAAGGACCTGGGTTACCCATGGATCTTCCATCAATGTCATAGTTGTGGTTGAGTGTTTCAGAAGAGAGGCTTTGTAGGTGCAGTAGCTATATGTTTTAAGTTTGCTATTATTGGTTGGAGCTAAGAAAATGGGGTTTTATTCTATCAGGAATAGTTGGTGGAAAAGGGGTTTTCTTAGGATTGATCATTTTGGCCCAGGTCTGCATAGCCTGGCTCAGTGTGCAATATTTCCTCACCCAGGCAGCCATATTTTTCCAGGCCCAGCTTGGTCCAGACCCGCATCAACTACACATAATGCCAGTCAGGCCTGGGCCGAGCAAGTCCTAGGCCCAGACAGCCCAGCCCAGAAGTTATATGTATGGTACAATATTTTACCAAATATATATCTATATGGTATAATATATAAAATTATGAATGTTGTATATATGGCATGTATATGTATTTATGGTATAATATGTTAATATATGCATAATAACTTAATAATATATATATATATATAATTATCATGGTTTAAAGTATCGATACGATACACCCCATTATCTTTTGAAAACGAGGCATTTCGGACTCCCATTTTTTAAAATAAAAAAAAAACACACATTTTAAGCTTCCTAAAAAACCAAACTTTGAAAAAAAAAACTAAAAAAATATATATGTTTCGGCCGTTTCTAAGTACCGATACGATACGGCCGAAATGCGTATCGTATCGATACTTTGAACCTTGATAATTATATATTCTATAATTGAATTGATTTGAATCGTACAAATCATATAAAATGTAAGATTCATGAATCAAATTTTAGGATTCAAACAAAACTTTGTAAGAATTTTGCAGAAAAGGATTCACAAATAAGATTCAAATTGTAAATCATCTCTTGCCAAAAAAAAAAATCGTAAATCATAAGATTTGACAACTACCCTAGCATACTATTACTGTAGTGTACATAGAGAATTCGGAAAAATAAAGCAAGCATAATATGAGAAGCCATAAAAGACTTACTATATAATCACACCAGAGAGCAGAATAGACAACAATGAAGGAGAACAAAGTATTAACTATTAAGGAGTTACCTCTTTAAGTTCAGTGCCAGGAAGGGGCTCCCCTTCCAAGTCGCATGGTTGATAACTCATTGACTCATTCCATTTCCCAGTCATCAATATTTTAGGTTCTTCTGCAGAATTATACACATAACCATCCACTTCATAGCGACCAGCCCTGCAACCAATTGCAGTTTCTAATAAGACACAGTTAATGAGTAAGAGGAAAATATAATAATAAAAGGAAAAAAACACTTGATGAAGAACAAGAGTGCAGAATTACCAAAACCAAAGAAAAACATTCAACAAGGTTATTAATTTTTCTCCTTTCATCCAACAAATAAAATAACAAATATGTAATTCAGAATGCCCATCACAGGAGGAAATCTATATGTCCATACCCAAACCAACCACATGGCTGAAAATAAAGTACAACTTTGTCCCCAGTTGTCAGGTTGGTCATGATCATCTCCCCTAGTGAATCAACCCAAGTCCGCCCAAATATAAGGTTGTTGGCTTTGGTCGGAGGGGGCACCAAATCTAGGATTACACCATCTCTCTTAAGGGTCACACGTGTCCTGCAATAAAAAAAAAAAAAAAAAGAATGACAAATGCAACTATTTTATATAGGAGGTGTATGGAGCAACTTATACCAGTTAAGAAACAATGCGCACATAGAGGAAAAATATCTATCGCTATGATGTCTATTAGAGAAGCCTACCATATATCTCAGAGTACCCAGGCTTCATAAAGAAAGTAAGAAACACAGGAATTTCAGATCAAACAATGTCAACGTGAGAAAAAAACTTTAACACCAAAGTTGATATCTATTTGTTAGCATAGTTAGCATATGAATGCATCCAGACAAGTGTTTCAGATCCAGTCAACTCAATCATATCGAAAGCTTAAGCCCAGACTAAATCTGGAAGTTATTTTTTATTTTTTTCATATACATACAAATGCATCAACGAACGAACTTCATCTAGGCAGAGTAAAACTCATACACATTTACATTTCGTTCTATTGTTAGACATCCCTTAGAATGAAGGTTTTATAAAGTGGCCCCTCTCATCTAAGCCATAGAGGGAAGTAAGACAGATCCAATAAAGTTTCTCAGTGCTATTCATCTCATCCTAATTAAGTTGACAGTCCATTCCCAGATAAGCTGGAGCATCGCAGACCCTAGCAAGTTGCTCTCTTCCTTCAGAGTGCATCAATCAGAAAATCACTAATTTTTTTGCAGGGTTTATGAACAACTGCTGCTTGTCATGCAATGAAGATGGATAGGGGTGGCCACGAGCCAAGCTTCTCATGAGCTATTCGAGTTTGGCTCATGGAAAGCTCAGCTTGGCTCAGTTTAAACCAACGTTTTAAAAAACGACCCTGAAACGGAACCGTTCTAGCCACCAATTTCCAGGTCAACGGTCCAACCATCCGGTTCAAACGGACGGCCCATTCTAACAGAAAAATTAAAAAAATAAAAAAAAAATGATAAAAAACTGTTGAACGGGACGACGGTTTGACCACCCGGGTCAATGGTTTGTTGACTTTTTCAACGGTTTTTGACCAGATGTCGGGTTTGGGGTAAAACGGAACCGGTTGCCTGGACGGTTCCCTGGCCGAAAGGTCTGACCGTCCAGGTCAACGGCAGTTCAAAAACGTTGGTTTAAACTAAGTTTTGAGCCAAGTGCGAGCCCAATGAAACTTGACTCTAAGGCTTGCGAGCCTAATCGAGCCTACTATAATAAATAAACATTTTTTATTATATATATACATACATATACATATGCATATAAATATATAAATATATAAATATATATAATAAATATTTTTATTATTATATATAATATTTTTATTTTTATGTATAATAGTAAATAATTTTTATAACTCTTATTTTTTTGTATGTAAAATAAAAAATATTTTTATATTTATTATTTTTATTTTTTAGAAAAAAACTTGACTTGCAGTCGAGCTTGAACCGAGCCGAGCTCGAACTTGCGAGCTTTGAACCAAGTTGAGCTCGAGATTAAATCTCTAACTCGAATCAAGCTTGAGCCTAACACAATTTCAGCAAGCTGAGCTCGAATAGCCTATTCGGCTCAGTTTGGCTCAGCTAGAATCCACCTCGCTATAACGTTGCTCTGTTTACAACACTGATCACAAATTAAAATCCTGACTAGGAAATGTTCGAAGAAAATGATATTGTAATATAACTGCATCACCAGAAAACCATAGTACCATATAATGGTCCTTCACTTATCATTTATATTTAGTGCTGAAATGTTCTAGCCCAGACCCGTCTTAAAAATTTCCGAGCTTGGGCCTGGTCTCGTGTCCAGGCCTAAAGATGGACAATCACATAACCACCTCTCTAAATCTTTAAGCTTAGCTTCACAGAAATCATTCAGCTTTTTGGAGCTGCATCAGTAGTCCCCCACTCCCCAGAGGTGACTTGGTGATGTCTCATGGCCTTTCAGCAGGTGGGGCAGAATTCTAATGGAGATGGCATCCATATAATATGTGGTCTGGTTAGTCCTAGTCACATTTAAGTGGCTAAGCAAGTTCAATCCAACAGAATCAGGCTTTGAAATGATTAGTCATAAACATAGAGACTTGGGACCCAAACAGGTGGAACAATACAGGTACATATTACTATCATACTACCAGGCAAATTCCATCCACAAAAAAAGACTAGACTGTTAAAGTTCACCAAGGTCAAAATGCAAGGCCTGTGAATCATCTATGCGAGGATGCATCTCAAGCAACTGGTTGGGAGTATTCTAAGGGATTCAAAAGGATGAAACGCATGCCTAAATTTAGCAGCTAGTCATTACTCTGAGTAATGGTTTTAGCTCAGATGGTTGCAGTATATAAGTCTATTTTTCTTTCTGTATAATACACAACCACTTAAGATTCACCACTTTGCAGACTGGGGAGGAAGGTGGGTCTTTACAGGAGTGGGGGTCATTCATTCTTTCGTTCTTTCTTTCATTTTTCTTTTGTTCTTTTTTGCCTTCACGGCGCTACACAATGGGCAACCCCCATACCCATAAGGCCATAACCCCCCAACAAGGATCAAAATTTTGTCACGTATCGGCCAATACGTATCATATCAGCAAGTGGTTCAGAGGGTAGACCGGCCTTAAACCAGCCCCTCTAAACCTTGCCCCCATATGGTGAGGATATTTTGAACCTTAAACTAGGCAAGTGGTTCAGGGCATATCGGCCTGTATCGATATTTTGAACCTTGCCCCCCAACCCTTGGTGACAATGGGATTTGATCCCAGGTCTCAGCTACAACCAGCCGGAGAACCTACTGAGCCACCAGCAGGTGGTGCTGTAGGGGCCTTTCTTCATGATAATATGAATTCTCACCCATATGGTGAGGATAACAATAAAATGCAGAGAATATAGATTTTTATATTGGAATACAACAAATTAGAAGCTCGTTGATCAGATCCTAACAAATCTAGAAGACAAGTACAATAAAGGTTTAGACATCCAGAATAAGAGGAAAAAACTAAAATAAAATTGGATATGGAAAGAGTACCTTCCAACAGGATAGATGTCAAGTGAATTTCCTAAAAATTTTGTCTTCAGCTTTGATGTGACATCATAGGTAAAATGTTCATTTTCAGCATGCCCAGCACTCATCGGGGGATGGTGGCTCACCTGAAATTGAAAACAGTATAATAAACTACAGTGCAGGGATCGTATGGCAAAAAAACCAGAAGGCAACTATACAAACACCAGTTACAGAAAACAAATTTGACTGGGATTGACATGCATGCAAAGGAAAGAAAGTGCTTTTATAACCAATAAAATATATGATAACCAGCAGCTAATACTAAGCCCAAGAAAAAAAAAAGAAACAATGAATATCACAATCCTGAACAAATCACCTGCTCTGCAATGAATGTAACCCCACCATGATTGGCCATTTCATATGTCTCACCAAGTATGGGATTAAAAGGCTTCCAAGTCCGTTGATAAGCATAGTAGACAGATATGGCCCAGGATGCTGCAATTGGCAAAAGAGCTCTATTTTATACCAGAAAAATACTAGTGTATGTCACAAAAATCTAGGGCCATAGAAAATTACATGCATACACAAGCCGCATGTAAGGATCTTCACATTCATCTGCCTGATCTAGCAAGTGGGAATACTCCATTAACTGTAACAAGGATTACTGAAACTTGTAATGTTTCAGGCAGTAAATAGCACCAGAGATATGAAAGAATACAGGTATTCATTCCAAAAGAAAATGGAACAAACCTCAGCCATTTTTTGAAGCATGGTCATTGGCTCAAAAATAAGAACAGGAAGTGTCACCATTGATGTGACATCTGAACCTATATACTTGTGCATCATCTTCCAGTAACTGTCTCTTTCCTACAATATAAGAAGAAAGGTCAGAATAAAACCATACATAAAATAATAAAAAGTTTGTAAACTAATATTTTTCTATTTTCACTTTCAGAAATGAAACATCAAAGCATATGCACTGCAAACCTTATGGGCCTGCAAAGAACAAAATGGGGAGTAAAAAGAGGAATTTGCATGCTTAAAAATTGACCTAATGGCTTCTCTCACTCTAACAGCTAGCTTTTAGGGGCGAGTTCACCCAAGGCACGTATCAAATGGTATCAGAGCCTGCACTATGCCTCCCAGTTGTAATCGTGCGGCGCAGGTGGTGACGCCAGTATTGCAGTGTTCGGCCGGGACTAGGTAGACTAGTGCAAAGCCAACCTGCATGGGTGCCAGGACTGCGGAGCATGGTGGAATGTTACGATCCATTTGTCCCACATTGGTAGTATGGGATGCTAATGTGAGATATCCTACATCGGTAGTATGGGAGGCGGTTGTGGGGTATATATGTGCTTGGGTTACCTCCCTCTAACAGCTTGCTTTTAGGGGCGAGTTCTCCTAAGGCACATATCATTCTCACTATAGCTATGACCCATTTTTAATGGAAGATTAGGATGCTGCTCAAAGTCCAAGTTGCCAAAGCATGAAAATGGATACATGTACGGATCATAGTGTAAAAGCTTCATAGCAACAAACTCCCAAAGCTCTAAACTTTTTAAGTACCCAAACATGCATGGAGAGAGAGAGAGAGAGAGAGATATCCCCTTGAGGGGAGGAATATAATAATGTACATATCTTGGTAAAAACTAGCTGTGTGAGGGACAGAAGAAGGTGGTATAAGGAGCATTATAACATATACAAACTACTGTGTTAACAGAATGGTTAATGCATCAAACCAGTGGGGTTTTTTTTTTCATTTTTATATGTTTTTGTTTAGTAATGGGGTTCGCTCAACATGCCCAAAGGGGGACGGTAAAGCGTTTGGTGAGGGCAAAAGGTTTCATTTAAGGAGAACAAAAACTAAAAAACAAGCTGAATATGTCCCACATTTACTTCTGGTAAGACTCCACATATTTGAATGAATGCAATTATATTTATTCCAACTTCCAACACTCTAAGCTCAAAAAACCCTCTCATGCCAAAGTGCATAACAAAATATTAAAAACATCAGCCCCCAAGTTTTGGGACGGATTCCACTCAAAAACCATGGACACACATTTTGAATAATTTAGAATATCACTCTTTTGACATGATTCCACTAACTACGCTCAAGAAAGATCCCTCAATAAAACTCTACAAAATATATAACATAACAAGTTAATAGCACATTGCATGACATTATTTTCTATTTATAAACATAAAATTATCAAAATAATAGTATACACCATATATTCAATTGCAAAAGTAAAACCTCAAATAGGAGGAACAAGCGGAACATAAACAGCAGTGAATTGTTAATAGTTCAATAAAAATTGAAAATAAAAATGGAGAACCTCCTGCTTCCATCTTCCTTTCTGAGCTTCCTCCTCTGCATCTTCCTTGCCTCCCTCCGGATTTATAACTTCCAGTCCTTCATAACCCAGCAATCTGGAGAAAAAAGAAGGAAGCAAGATCAAATTTAGTAAGGATAAGGAAATGAATGATAAGCTATAGAATAATAAAACTTTGTCCTTCATAAGCACATAAATAGAAGTTCCAATCCACAATAATTGGTATTTGGTAATTGGTAGCAGTGTTTAGAAAACCAGATCGGACCAGCCGGTTGGACCGGTTGAACTGTGGCCCAGGACCTTGGCCGGTTCGGTCATACCCCAATATTCGCTTTCATTAAAAAACGGTGCAAACTGGCTGACCAGCTGATTTAACTGATGACCCGATTCTGGTTTCATGAAATTGCCTGGGTCCTTAACTAGTAGAAATTTTAAAATGTGCTTAGCAAGATTCGAACTCATGACCTCTTATTTTAATATATTAATTAATTACCATTAGTCCACCTCTTAACTTGTGTTAATTAATGACTCTTTATTGTACATATTACTTTATTACACATGTATTCAAAGAAAATGTAAATTAAGAGACTTGAACCCTAATCATTTGCTTTAAAAATTAAGGAACTTGCCATAGAGAAAATTATATAGCAATTCAGGTATCCAACAGAAAATCTAATTACAATAACTTGAAACCAATCAATTGAGCATAAATCTAAAGACATTAACCAGGAATTCCATGGCATGAAGGTTACACTTAGATGATCAATAAATAACATAAAACAGTTTGTCTTAATGCAAAATCGGATAAGATCACCACTCCAGATAGGATCACCATTTTTAATGTAGTCTTATTGCCCAGAAGCACAGATAGGATCACCACTCCAGATATGTGACTCAACATTTTGACAGCACAATAATCTTTGACCTCTGCTCCCAAAAAGTAAAGAAAGGCAGTTTTTATTTCAAAGCCATGCTCCCCTCTGAACCTGTCCACATGCAGGCATTGCTACACTTTAGAAGCTGTTTTATCTTTGCTCTTTCTAATTCAATAACTAAGCGCCTAGCACCATGTGCTATTCACAGTCTAGATATGGTTCAGCATTTTGAGAGCAAAATCACCTTGAATAGTGCACCCACAAATAAGGAGCATAGATTTTAAGGCGCCAAGGCGAGGCTAGGCGACAGAGGGTGCCTTGTCGCCTAGGCGCCTCGGGCGCCTAGGCGATGGACTTTTTTAAGTAAAACCATATATCCTAGGGTAGTTCCCTAGGTTCCATAACCATCTTTCCTTAATAATTATCCATAATTTTCATGAGAAAAGCATAAATTTCATATTTTAAGTTTAGAAAATCAACACTTTATGAGAAGAAAAGGAACAAAGGAAAGAAAATTCAAAAAATATAGGGGCTGAACCCCTACTTTTGTTATAGGAAAAGAAGAAAATAAAAGGTGGAAGAAGAAGAAGATCTATAAGAAGAAAATGTGTTGATTAGAAAAAATTTTAAGTTCCTCCCTTGCTTACTGGTTCAGGTTCTGGAATCTTTGAGGATTCAATCAAGGATCAAAACTTCAACACGATACGCCCCGTATCGGGTGTATTGTATTGTATCGTTGGCGCCCCAACACACATGTTTATAGGTGTTTTTGGGAACCCATTTTTTAAAATAATATATGTGTGTGTATAAATATACATATATACTTAAAAATGAAATTGAAAACAAAGAAATAAAAAAATAGGGGGAGTATCATTATAAGTACTAAATACTAGTACACCTCTGCCAATACACAGAGGTGTATCGATACTTTGAACCATGGGTTCAATACAGCAGTTAGCAATGTTTGTGTTGATTAAACCCTAATAAATAAGAAAATAATAAAAAGAAATTAGTACATAAACACATAAAATGAGTATTCTAGTTTAATGATGCCTATTTTATAATTATAATGTTAAAAAATTAAAAGTATAAAAGTATTTTATAACATAGTGCACAAAACTACTTGGCGACTGGGCAAGGCGAGCCTCCAAGGGCACCTTGTCGCCTAGGCGCCTGCCTAGGCGTTGCCTTGACAACTATGATAAGGAGAGGCTGTTTTTATTTCAGATTCATATTCTCCATTGAATCTTTTTAATTTGCACTTTAGAAGTTGTGCTATAGTATTGATCCAAAAAAGTCGTTCTATATTTGCCCCTTCTGATCTATGATACCCAGACATCTATACATGCCTAGTGTGCCAATTACAGTAACAATATGCACTGAATATAAGACCAGATATTGCATACACACTTCTAGATATACTCCTATGGATTAATATATTTAAAATATGTAAATTGGTATGTTTTAGGAAACCATAATGTAAAAAGTGTTGAAAATTTGATTAAGTTTGAAAAGATGTCTTAAAAATGACACTTCATTTCCAATACTAGACCTACAAGCATGACATGAGCATGTTTTATAGGACCCATACCCATATACACATCCAGATTGGTATCCGTATCTGGGCATTATAGCTTCTGAATTTTGATTCACCCATGTTCTAATTCTGTTCTTTTAGTCTAGCCATTCACTTATCTCTATATCCACATCTCCACTATGCTCAGGTAAAAAGGCAGAAATACAAATAAAGGAAAAAAGAAATTAACAAAGACACATATCCCTGCCCACTCTAGTGGTGCAATGTTAAAACCTCAGGCTGAAAAAACACGAGAACATGGATTCAATTGGCCACTTCGTCGAAAAACTGCTGGTGTTAGGTCCACCCTCCCAAGTCCCTGGATAGACAGGACCAACATTGACTAATGACGCTCTCTAACCTTTGATCTTTTTAAATTTTAAAGTCGAAATTCCAAAGCTGCTCCAATACCACGCTCTCATCACTTACTTATGGCACAGATACCTAAAATGGAAGAAGTACAGAACATAGCCCAATCCAAAATGATACGAATAGTTTTCTAGGTAAATGGATGGAGGATATTCTAGTTACAGGAATTACATTTGTAACCATGTAATGAATGGAGCATATTGATTCAAGCATAGTCAACTTTCTTTACCTATATACTAAAGTTGAGAGTTTAAGTCACCCTTCGAGTAAACCATCAGTCTTTCTAGCAAGCCCATCCTTACCCAAATTGCATTATGCGGGGAAAACCAGGTGAATACATAAAACCAAGTGAATGTAATTGGTAGCTTTTTTGTTGTTTCAGAAAGAACCAGCCTGAATGGAAATTACATAAAACCAAGTGAATACATTCTGCCATTAAAAGGAAGAAAATGGCGCATATGTCAATCAAATTCGAAGCAAGGAAGGAAAACTAAAATTATGCTTTAATGAGAACTATAAACATATAGTTGTCTAACAAAACAGAAGTCAAATTCTACTTCATGAATTGAAGATCAATATAAATAAACTAGGGCTCTATGCGAAGAAACAAAATACTTCAACCCTACAGTATAACTGTATCTACAGGCCAAAACAGATGAGAAGACTCAAGAGTCGAATCTGAAGCTCTCCGTACCCGTTAACAGATTTGTGCATCGCGCTCCCAATATTAGACAAGGTAGAAGCGATCGATGAGAAAAAGCCACCACCTTGCTTCTGATCCTTGGAAGCCATCTCAGAAGCCCTAACTCTCTCTAAACTAGAAGATCTGTTAAGGTTAAGATGATCTGTCAACTCAACACTTTCAGATGAAATCGCAGAAGAGAAACTGGAACTCTAATCAATTAAACTCCAAATTCGAGCGTTCCAAGAGAAATCGGAAAAAAAAAGAAAAAAAAGAAAAAAAAAAAGTGCAAAAGAGAGAGAGAGAGAGAGAGAGAGAGAGAGAGAGAGAGAGAGCTAAATAGATAATAAGAATAATTAAATTGAAGTGAGCGGGCGATTACAGAGAACAGCTAGGACGAGAGTTGGAACTAGTTGGCGCTTCTACTTCTGCTGTTTGAAGCCTACCACTACACCAGGGTCGGATATTCTTATCGTGCAAGAATAGAATGGTAATGTTGCGCCGCGGAACCAGATGACAAAAGTGACTCAAGGACTTTTCTTAAAACAACCGAAAAGACATAACTGTCCCTAAGCTTTGCAAAATTCCCCATTAGTGTGTATTATTTGAGTCTTGAGACTGGAGTTGTGAGCGTGTGATCCGGATTCTGAAAGCCTTGAATCCAGATTGATTACACGTCAAGAGACACGGTTACGTTACTTACGTCCCGGGTCGACACCAGTTAACTGGTCCAAGTTCAACGATTGTACGACCAACTGATGGTGGCTCAGTCGGGTGAATCTCCGATTGTTTATAGCGGACTCGGGATCAAATCCCGCTGGCACCAGAGTCCGCGTTCTGTGCACCGGTGGATTTACATCGACCACGTTGCTCAGCTAGGGGTGGCCACGAGTTCACGAGCTCGGTTCAGTTCGATTTAAACGAGTTTTGAACTGAATTCGAACCTTATATATAGGTTCGTTTGCTAATCGAGCCGAGCTCGATACTACGTTGCCCAGCCCGCTGTTCCGTAACGTTAAAGACAGGGGTGGCCACTAATCGAGCCGAGCTAGAATCTAATAAAGATCAACTCGTAAGGCTTGTAAGTCTAGTATTAAATAAATAATTTTTATTATATATACATACATATATATAATAAATAATTTTATTATATATAATATTATTTTTTAATATAATATTTTTATTTTTATGTATAATAGTAAATAATTTTTTTTTGTTTGAAAAATAAAAAATAATTTTATACATGTAATTTTTTTTTTAAAAAAAAAGCTTGGTTTATAGTTGAGCTCGAACTTGCGAGCTATGAACCAAGCTGAGCTTGAGCTCAAGTCTCTATATCAAATTGAGCTCGAGCTCAAGCTCAAGCCTAATACTATTCCTGCGAACCGAGCTCAAATAGCCAAATATTCGGCTTAGCTTGGCTCGAATCCACCCCTACATTAATGCATGAACCTACTGTTAGCATGGGCTAGCTGGTTCAACTAGTCACAAAAAGAGAAAATAGGACTCAAAAACACAATCTGTGTCCCTCCTCATTCTCCCTCTCATTTTGCAGTGATTTGATGCTTTTCCTCCACCAAACCCTATCCACACATTGGCGACCATACCACAACGGGCGATGACCCATACCAGCGGCCATCGACGGCAATAGCTCCAACGGTATGTTTTTTGGCCTATTCTTCTTCTTCTTCTTACAAAGGGCCTCCTGTTTTTCTCTTTTCAACAGATCGAAGCAACCCACCAGTGGGATTCTTCAAGCTCATGAGGGTGGGTCAACACCGGTAGCTTCTTTCTTTCTTTAGGAGAATGAAGGTGGGACAACACTCAGCCCACTAGTACGGGTCATTGTCCACTATGGTATGGTCACCGATGTGTGGGTAGGGTTTGGTGGAGGAAAATCAACAAAACTCTGCAAAATGGGAGGGAGAATGAGGAGGAATGTGGGCTAAGGGCGCATTTGATAACTCTTTTCAGACCTCTGATGCATTTCAAACTGCGTAAAAAACAAAAATAGGCCTCTAGAATTTTGTAAATGCCCCACGTTGTCCCTCATTTAACCCAACAAAAAGAGCTGACCACCATCAAGCTTCTCTCAGAGGTATGTTCTTCAACCCAAATCTCCATTTTACCTCTTGTTTTCTGCTATTTTCTTTAGGTTTCGAAACTCAAATCTCCATTTCAAGGTTCAAAGTACCAACACGTATTGGCCTGTATTGGCTTATACGTATTGTTCCGGGACTCATCTAGTACGCCCCTATAGTGGGTGTATCGGGGGTTTGACCGGTTCAAGGGGTGGAGGAGACCTAAACCAGCCCCCCTAAACTAGTTTCTGAAAAAAAATAAAAAAAAAAAAACTAAAAAAAAATAGTATCGATTCGCTTGATACGCCCATACCGGCATATGGGGCATATGCATATTTTGAACCTTGCTCCATTTTACTCCCTATTCTTCATATCAAATCTCCTTATTTGTTTTTTTTTCTCCACTATATCTAGGGTTTCTAGGATCAGTCGATCTGCCTCAGCTTCAAGTGTCCTCCCTTTCAAGTGTGATTCTAGGAAGAACAATTGGTGTTGTTGGGATCAGCCAATAGAAGCAAACTGATTGGAGCTACTGCCGCAGTTCCCTGCCACTCTTTTGTTCGATGACAAGAAGAAGAAGACGAGTAGCAGACCTGGGCATTTGGAAGAAGAAGAAGAAGAAGAAGAAGGGGAGAAAAGAGTAAAAAAGAGAGAGAGTTTAGAGAGAGAATAACCAGAGAGAGGAGGGGAGAATACCACCACCCCTGTTCAGCCTTCACAACAGGAATGATGATCAGTAGTGCCCAAAACCAATTAATTATTAATTATTTTTATTAATTGTTATTTATTAATTAGTATTTTGAATTTGATAATGATTTTGTATGAAATAGTACAAATTGAGCTCAAAATTACCAAGTAGTCTATTCTAGGGGTAAAATAGTAAAATTAGGGAATTTCAAATGTTAAAGGTTTGGTCCAACACAAACAAGCTTATATATTCAGAGTCTCTAAAAAGTAAAAAAACATTTATGCCTCTTTTCGGATTGTAGACGCTTTTAATCTTTTTATCTTTTTCAGACTTTAGATTTCAGATTTATCAAATGCCACCTAAGTGTTTCTGAGTCCTATTTTCTCTTTTTGTGGACGGTTGAACCGGCTAGCCAATGCTAACGATGGGTTCATGTGTTAACAATATGAAACAACGGGCTGGGCAACGTGGTCGATTAAGATTGGTGGGTTCATGCATTTGATGAACCCACTGGTGCACAGAACACGGACTCCTAGCACCAGGATTTGGGGGTTACCGGGTTAGGTTAGGATATGATTTATAGAGTTCGGATCTGTTGACAACATTGCCGGGAATTCACATCAGCACATGCCCCACAAGCATCTCACAACACATCCCAACTATGTATTGGAAACATCTCCCAATGACAAGTATAGCAGATATTCCTAACGCATGCTAAGATGTGCATGTCAACATATGAGGCGTGTAGGTGCTGATGTGATCTCCATGGCCATGCTCATCCCGACTCTGTTTGTAGCCCCAATAATACATGATTTCCCAAAAAAGAAAAAGACATGGGAAGCTTTACCTATCAAAAAAAAAAAACTTTACTAAAGAGACGCTTCCTTTTTTTTTGGATGAAAGCAGCAAGATAATATTAAACCTGAACTCAAAGGGAACAAAGAACAAGCACTAAGGTCTATTTAGGACTTGGCTTGCCAAGTTTTGGATCCACTCCGGTGAATCATTGACAAACAAACCAGACTCTTTTAGACCTTTGTTAACCAACACATGGGCTACATTGTTACAAGATTTGTTTACATGAACAAAAGAAATCAAAAAAGTCTTTGGTAAGCAGAACAATATCCGTGCACAAAAAGTTTGCATCCAACACCAAATCATAATTTTTAGTGTTTAAAGCCCACACCAAAGCTAAACAATCTGATTCCACTATCAGAGCTTCTTCCTTAAACATGTTCATGACTTCCAGCTGTTGAGAATTGCCATTGCTTCAGCTTGGATGGGGGAAGAAGCTGAGGATTTTCCAAAAGCATACACTACCACACTTACTAAAGAATTTCTTAGAACAACTCCAAAACCTGAGCGTCCTGGATACAAAATTCTGTAGGTATTTGTCTAGTACTTCGATGCTAAAGAGAAGAATTTCACAATTCTACTTGGGAATCTTCACTCTCTCTCTCCACATCCTATAGGTCACAACCAGAGTAGAAATTGGATTTGGATCAGAATTTTCAAATATCTTTAGATTTGTAGCCTTCCAAATATTCCAGATTAATAAGAAAGAGAACGAATTCATGTCTACTCTTCTTTCACTATCTTTCAAACAGATATCAAGCCACATAACTAACCAAGGCTTAAACGATGCAAAATTGCACCCTCTTGCAACCACACTCGAACAAGCAATGCATAACAGTCTCAATTTGTTGGAAGCAAATGGGGCAAACATCACCACTGGAGAGATTTCTTTTACAAAGATTTTCATTGACTGCTATAGCATTTAAACAACATTTCCAGATGAAGTTTTTTATCCTAGGGTCAGATTTTGCTTTCCAGATTTCAGCCTACTGGGTCTTCCTCAACCCGCCAAACGTACCATTGCTCTCATTAGAATTGTTGGCTTCTCTATTATTTGAGCATATTGCAAAGTAACCAGATTTCATAGTGTATTGACCACTTGAGCGATAGGTCCATCTAAGCTTATGGAAACTGATGTAATTGTTTCTGGTCACGTATCATTATTTCGTGATGTGTCAATTTTTTGGCTGAGTACCTCGTTATCTCGTCTGCTCCCAAGTGGCCTGTGACTCAGAGGCTGAAGTGGAGCTCCCTGGTGGCGAGCTGCCTGGTGGCGAACAGCCTGGTGGTGAGCTACCTGGTGGTGAACTACCTTGATGAGCTGCTTGGAGGTGAGCTACCTTGATGAGTTGCCTGGTGGTGAGCTACCTGGTGGCGAACTGCTTGGTGGTGAGCTACCTGGTGGTGAACTGCCTTGATGAGCTTTGTTGCTCTTTTAGAGGCCTGCAAGGAACCAAATGTCAGAAGACCCGGGATGGCTAACCCGGCGAGGTCACTCCGATGCCTATGTTAGCACTTAGTGGAAAGTTGAGAATGATATTAGAGAATGAGAGAGCTAGAGATCAGAGGTTACCCATCTTTTATTTTTTACACACAATGGGGTGGCTAACCCGACGAGGTCACTCCGATGCCTAAGTTAGCACTTAGTGGAGAGCTGAGAATGAGAGAGCTAGAGAGCAGAGGTTACCCATCTTTTTTTTTCGCATACCTTTGCCCCTGGGGGTGAGGTCTTTATATACTGGAGTCCTCGTGGGTTAGGTGGAGTAGTTTCTGAATTCCCGTTGTGATGGGACCTGCTTTCGTGTTAGGTGGGGATAAAGCCACCAACTAGTAAGGTTGCCCATTTCCGCCCGACTCGGGGAGGGGGTGA